GTAGAGACTTTCAAAAAATATATTTCTCAAAATTGTTAGTCATATGCAGATTTTTCAAATTCACTAATTATTCTGTATACATAGTATACCTATCTATTGCGAGTAATATGAATAACCTTTCTCTCGTAAAAATAGTATTTAAAAGTGGGTAGAAACAAATTTTCTTATACAATTACTGAATAACAAATTGAAGAACAATTGATTAAATGTCAAGAAAAATTCTAGGGAAGTTTTCAAAACTTGTCTGAGAATCGAGTACCGGATCTCGAAAATAATACATTGTTTCGTATTTCCGGTGAGGGTGGCGCTTAGCTCGTTCATTCACATCCGGTCCTCCATTTTCTTTTGGTCATCTTCGTGTATGATTGCGTTCTTGTTCACGCACGTTCGTTATCGATCTTGCGTTTTCAGTAATTGTTAAACGTTCAAATCATATACGAGCATTTGTTAGTCTGTACGTTATACTAATATTCTCATAGATCTTTCATTCCGAACATCGTAATTTGGATTATCGTGTGCTAATGCGTGGTATTTCAGAAAGCTCGCCGACTCGCGCAATGGCGGAGGATTTGGATGTCGAGGCGATGCTGGAGGCGCCATACAAGAAAGGGGTAAGGCTTAATTTTTTTTGCTTTTCTATATATCTCGGTTTGCTCCTCCGAGGTCCTGACTTTTTTTAATCCTATAAAATCCACCTAATCTCGATGCACAAGAATCCAATAACGGTGCCGTACCGTTCTGGGTATGTGTTTTGTCGTATTGTGTTCGAGAAAAAAATGATACGTCCTTTCCTTCCCGTATATACATGTAGAACAAAGTACGCCCTTGTCTCATACCGACTATTGATCAATACCTCCGTTTTCTGTACTTATAGATGGTACGTAACATGTACCCTCGCGCTCGTAGGATGTTCGGCAGCGAGTTCCTAGAATGCACTTGAAATACGAGGTATTAAGAAAAGCCATCACTAACATCATTTTTACTTAATTCTTTTTTCTTTCTTTATTTCTGACATTTTTTTTTTCTAATCTTTTTTCTCAGAAATTGTAACGTTTATATATTATTTACGACGTAGATAGAATTGCTACTGTCACCTTTTTACGATTATAGAGAGAGAAAAAAAACACACGTACACAAAAAAATATGTTCTTTGTGTTAATTTATTTGGAAAGAAAAAGAAAAGCGAAAGATGGATTTGTTAGGTGCTGTTCTGCCATGTGCCATGCTATACTTTTGATCTTTATGACACATATGCGTGGAAGAATATAAATCAAGCGGTTTGTATAAGCATCGAATGCCTTTATACATGGATTCAATGAAATCAATGTCCTATGGTATTTTACATTTAGCAGGATAGTAATTTTTACTGGTGTCTTTTGTATTGTTAGGTGGAATAATAATGGCATTCATCTGTTTTTTAAAATTTCAAGCAATCCCATTGGCTTTGTTTTCTTTTAGTTTATAGGAATCTTATTTATGCATCTTTTTTATAGTCATGTATTAATTCTTCTTTTTTGGAAGAATTGCACATTGATATAATTATTTGAGAATAATAATGTTAGGAGGATAGCTGTATTAATGGGAAAATATTAAAATACAGTATACAAGCTACTCCTTATGTAGTAAGAGAGATAAAACAGGACTTACATTAAAAGTACTGCATTCCTTATAAATGGGGACAAACATATGATTCAAGTTTAACTTATTTAGCAATTTAAGATTGCTAAATATTTAATTAGTTTGTATAAAAATGTATTGTATATTAATAAATTTCAGTTTTGTTTTAAACATGTTAGACTTTTGTTTCTGTTTATTAACAGAATTAAAAATGGTAGGTTCAATAAGATGCTTATGGTGTTCTTTTTCTTTATAATTCTTATGATTTTCCATCAATATGACATTGTCTGTCTTATTTGAAAATTTGAGATAGTACTTCATAAACAAAATGCATGGTAAATTGGCAAGCAGGAAATAAATGATGTGGTATAAATGAGAAAATGTTTTAAAAATGCGCTCAAAATTGCTGATAATCTCAATGTTTCTTTAGAAATCAGTTGCATAAGAGGTAGATCAGTAACATGTACATTTAACACCATTACCATCATTTCATTACATTAATGCCATATACCAAGCGTATGTTCGCTTTAATCATCTGAAACATTTTCTCTACACAGCTAAGTCATCTTGTGATATATCTACTGGAAGCTGCAAATGATCGTTGATCGTTTTGTTCCTATTATGATATAGTTAAATCAATAAAAGTGCAGGGGCTATAGGTTAGCAATTAGGGTTCACATCTCGTGTTACATTAAAAACGTACTGTCTTTGATGAGGGCTCTCTTTTGCAGAAGAAAAAGGATGTGTGGTTGGCCATTGGTAGTTTAAGACCAAGGCATGCTCAACCCAAGATTGCAATGCTTTCCTAAAACCCGATAAAACGATTGGTAAGTTTGAGCCAGGTGAATGCGAGGTGTCGCAACACTATGCTCGCCCCGTCTCTCTCTGTCTCTCTCTCTCTTTCTTCTCTGTGTCCCCATCTCAGCCCCCTCAGACCGATATAGTCTACCTGGAAAAGAGAAAGAGCACGAGAGTGCACCACCGTCCAGCAGCAAATAGACCTTCGATAACATAGTACTCAAAGGAGAGTTGTCTACATGGTTATAAAGAATAAAAAATTAACTGAAGACAGAACTTCATTATTGATATATTTTATTTTTGAGACTACTGTCAAAATTTAAATTGTACAATATGTACACAATTTGTCTTTACAAAATTTACTAACGTTCTCTGATTTGCTTTTTGTCCCCTTGTTCGCGCGTCCCTGCCACATCGGCTGGCTGGCATGGCATTCAACTGTTTGCTGTTCGTAGGAGCAGGACTCCTCATCCAAAGACAAATCCTCCAAGGAGAATGGGTCTAGCCGTAAATCATCTGGGTAAGTACTTTTAATATAGCATAACTAATTTAATTAACGATTTGTGTTCACCACTATAATTGATATTTGGTAATATAAATAATTTCGTTATGTACAGTGATGTAAATGATTATACTGGGGAGCACAAAGTATTAAAAATAATAGAAACCTCCATTATTTTATTTTTTTGCCATATTGCAATTCATTATGCTACATAATATAATCATAATAAAAATTCCAAACAGTACAAAAAAATAAGTTTAAAGAAATTACCTCTGAAAAAAAAAAATAAATTTAAGAAAGTAAGAGGATTAGATCTTTTTAGGTGAAGAAACTGTTTCACTTAGAAAAAATTTTCTTTTAAAAAAATAAATAGAAATATCTAAGTTTTATTCCATTTTACTCCAACCATCTTATGTTGTATTGCTTATAGTATATTAAAACACATGT